TCCAAAGATGTTCAATCGGGTTCAAGTCTGGGCTCTGGCTGGGCCACTCAGGGACATTCAGAGACTTGTCGTGAAGCCACTCCTTTGTCTCCTTGGCCGTGTGCTTAGGGTCATTGTCATGCTGGAAGATGAAGCATCGCCCCAGTCGAAGGTCTCGAGTGCTCTGGAGCAGGTTTTCATCAAGGATTTCAATGTACTTAGCTGCATTCATTTTTCCCTCGATCCTGACAAGTCTCCCAGTTCCTGCCGCTGAAAAACATCCCCACAGCATGATGCTGCCACCACCATGCTTCACTGTAGGGATGGTATTGGCGAGGTGGTGAGCGGTGCCTGGTTTCCTCCAGACATGACGCTTGGCATTCAGGCCAAAGAGTTCGATCTTTGTTTCATCAGACCAGAGAATTTTGTTTCTCCTGGTCTGTGAGTCCTTCAGGTGCCTTCTAGCAAAGTCCAAGCGGGCTGTCGTGTTTTTTACTGAGGAGGGGCTTCTGTCTGGCCACTCTACCATAAATGCCTGACTGATGGAGTGCTGCAGAGATGGTGGTCCTTCTGTAGGGTTCTCCCATCTCCTCAGAGGAACGCTGGAGCTCTGTCAGAGTGACCATTGGGTTCTTGGTCACCTCCCTGACCAAAGCCCTTCTCCCCTGCTTGCTCATTTTGGCTGGGCGGCCAGCTCTAGGAAGAGTCCTGGTGGTTCCAAACATCTTCCATTTCTTAATGATGGAGACCACTGTGCTTTTTGGGATCTTGAATGCAGCAGATATTTTTCTGTAACCTTCCCCAGATCTGTGCGCTGATACAACCCTGTTTCGGAGGTCTACAGACAATTCTTTCGACTTCATGGCTTGGTTTGTGCTCTGACGTGCTCTGTCAGCTGTGGGATCTTATATAGACAGGTGTGGCTTTCCAAATCATGTCCAATCAGCTGAATATGCCACAGGTGGACTGCAATCAAGTTGGAGGAACATTTCAAGGCTGATCAGTGGTAACAGGATGCACCTGAGCTCAATTTTGAGTTTTATAGTACAGGGTGTGAATACTTATGTGTATGCAACATTTGAGTGTCGTATTTTTAATAAATTTGCAAAATGTTCTAAAAAAAGTTTTTCGCTTTCTCATTATGGGGTAGTTTGTGTAGAATTTTTGAGGGAAAAAAGGAATTTAATCCATTTTGGAATAAGGCTGTAACATAACAAAATGTGGAAAAAGTGAAGTGGTATGAATACTTTCCGGATGCACTGTATGTACTGGGAAATGAGCAACAGGTGAGACACACAAGACAAGGGTGAGACTCTGAAAACAGCCACTGACATTGACTGCTGTAAAAACATATTGGATTCATATTTTTTCCAGATTTTTTAAATATATCTCTTAATTAACTTCTGCTCTTTTCAAAACTAGTTCATTAAGAATCCAAAATTTAACCCTTTAAGGACCCATTTAAAACATAGTCACTTATATTGGGAAAAAATGGGAGGAAAATGACTGATTTTTATTAGATTTTTTTCCAAACATATCAGTGACATTACTTATTGAATGTACCCTCAAAGGGTTAAAAAAATGATTTTAGATGAAACATTTACTAGTTTTGATCAAAACAGAAGTTAATTAAGAGATATATGAAAAATAATTGGAAAAAAATATTAACCCAATAAATTTTTACAGCAGTCAAAGTTAGTGGCTGTTTTTAGCCACTGAGTGTTAACAACGGATGAAAATTTGCCCAGTGCGTATTTTTGACCTGGTGAAAATTTTGAAGTCATATTCTTAAAGTGTCCATCAATATCAGCATCTGCACAAAAAATCATCCCATTTGCTGCAGTAAAAAAAAAAAGTTACATGGAAATTAGTGGCTAAATTCTGCCCCTGGTGGCTGATTTTAGCCACAGTGTTACACAAGGGTTAAAACACTTTTGAAGACACACCTGTTCACTTTAGCTTTTGGGAAGTATAGCCCCTTTTATTGGGTCTTTTATTTATTTGCTATGTTTATCTACACTCACCGGCCACTTTATTAGGTACACCATGCTAGTAACGGGTTGGACCCCCTTTTGCCTTCAGAACTGCCTCAGTTCTTCGTGGCATAGATTCAACAAGGTGCTGGAAGCATTCCTCAGAGAGCTTGGTCCATATTGACATGATGGCATCACACAGTTGCCGCAGATTTGTCGGCTGCACATCCATGATGCGAATCTCCCGTTCCACCACATCCCAAAGATGCTCTATTGGATTGAGATCTGGTGACTGTGGAGGCCATTTGAGTACAGTGAACTCATTGTCATGTTCAAGAAACCAGTCTGAGATGATTCCAGCTTTATGACATGACGCATTATCCTGCTGAAAGTAGCCATCAGAAGTTGGGTACATTGTGGTCATAAAGGGATGGACATGGTCAGCAACAATACTCAGGTAGGCTGTGGCGTTGCAACGATGCTCAATTGGTACCAAGGGGCCCAAAGAGTGCCAAGAAAATATTCCCCACACCATGACACCACCACCACCAGCCTGAACCGTTGATACAAGGCAGGATGGATCCATGCTTTCATGTTGTTGACGCCAAATTCTGACCCTACCATCCGAATGTCGCAGCAGAAATGGAGACTCATCAGACCAGGCAACGTTTTTCCAATCTTCTATTGTCCAATTTCGATGAGCTTGTGCAAATTGTAGCCTCAGTTTCCTGTTCTTAGCTGAAAGGAGTGGCACCCGGCGTGGTCTTCTGCTGCTGTAGCCCATCTGCCTCAAAGTTCGACGTACTGTGCGTTCAGAGATGCTCTTCTGCCTACCTTGGTTGTAACGGGTGGTTATTTGAGTCACTGTTGCCTTTCTATCAGCTCGAACCAGTCTGGCCATTCTCCTCTGACCTCTGGCATCAACAAGGCATTTCCGCCCACAGAACTGCCGCTCACTGGATATTTTTTCTTTTTCGGACCATTCTCTGTAAACCCTAGAGATGGTTGTGCGTGAAAATCCCAGTAGATCAGCAGTTTCTGAAATACTCAGACCAGCCCTTCTGGCACCAACAACCATGCCACGTTCAAAGTCACTCAAATCACCTTTCTTCCCCATATTGATGCTCGGTTTGAACTGCAGGAGATTGTCTTGTCTTGCTCCATCCTGTTGGGATGTGAGTCTCTGTTCTGCGAAGGAGTTTAAGTATCTCTGGGTTCTGTTAAGGTATCTTCAGCTATCTAATTAGATGACTCCTGGACATCTTACTTTGAAGGTTTTATGGGTACACCCAAGTAGCAGGAGACCAGAAGGTACAGTAGATCTAGAGCTCTCTGTGAAGGTTAAATGTCCCATCTGGCCTAAAATACCCATTCTTGTATCGTATTGTATTGTACTGCATTGTTTGTACTGCTCTAATCACCAGGGTGTGATCATCATTCCCAACTTGACCTCAGTGCTGTATGACAAGAATGAGTGGGAGACACCCTTCACTTTTAACCCAGGACACTTTCTGAATGAGGAGGGCAAATTTGTGAAGCCAGCAGCTTTCCTCCCTTTCTCTACAGGTAAAGAGCAACACAATCCCTTATTTTATAAGCATCCCTCACAGGTAATACATTAGCCTGTTAGAGCAAACACTGGAGTCCTATAAAGCTTTTTTTCACTCTGAAGTCAATGACATAAAGGAGAATAGTTTCGACCACAATAAATGTATCACTAAATAACCCCAATCACCCCTTTCAGGGCCTTTGTTCAAACACTGAAATGCTTTTTACGCTTAATTTTAGTTCATTTTCCTCTTTTCTTTTTTTTCAGGTAAGCGGCTGTGTCTTGGTGAGAACCTGGCAAGGATGGAGCTTTTCCTCTTCTTCACCTCCTTCATGCAGCACTTCACCTTCTCCATGCCTGCTGGAGTAAAGCCTGTGATGGACTACCATTTGAGCATTACTCTGGCACCACGTCAGTATGAAATCTGTGCAACCCCACGTTTAGGAAAGCACTAACTGGCATAAAAAATAGAATAAAAAAAAAATAATAATAAGTGTATAAAATGGAACAAGTCCAACTCATCTTTATGCCACCATTTTAGGAGCTGGCTTTAACTGATATTAAAATTACTTACAGCTCACTTCTGATATCTAATTAAGGCTGTAAAATGTAATAAAATTAGAATCTTTGCAATGTTGTTTTATTTTTTTGTTGCATTACCAAATGGACTCACCATTGTTGTGTTAGGTTGTTTAAATACAAACTTTGCCATGACTCGGCTTGTTTTTCATGAGACTACTTTACGAATACTCACAGCTTTCATGCAACCCTGGGAAAAGTTGGTGTCTATGATATCTGCTAATCTGAGTCTTAATTGAGAGCAGTGTTGGAGATGTTGTCCAGTATGCACAGATGTTATTTTCTTAGTTTCTTCTTTTTCTGAAATTGTGAGTACAACAGCTCATATCTTTGGTCGCAGTTAATCTCCTTTTCGGTGAATCTTCTTTCTGTCTTGGGTTTGCGATAATATGGTTTGATATTATCGCAAACCCAAGACTAGGAAAAGACTGATATAAAACAGCGCAGATTACCATCTTAAACCTAATGTTCGAGATGACGGGAACGCACTGTGACTCCAGTAAAACTCCTAGATTTACTTAAGACTTTCAGTTTTTAGTCTCAGACTGAAAATCATGTGGTGGAAGCCCAGCATTAGTCGGTTCAATAGTACCACACAAATCCCAAGTTTCATAACTTTCAACATTAGATACAAAATGCCAAAACCCTAAGAGGTCAGAGATTCATATGTGGTAAGTTTTTACTTCAATCTATTTTTATTTTTTTAAACTCATTATCTTTCTGAAGTTTTACATGGAAAAAAAGATTCTTTGGAAAGCATCACTGTTTGCTTATTCTATTTTGTAAGGGGGTTCTGCCCTCCTTTTTTTGGGGATCAACTCGGCCATTTAAGTTTGCTTATATTGTATGATTGATTTTTTTGTCACTGATTGCCAATGTTCAAAATCCCTGTTTGGTGAATAAACAGAGCGAAGTTCAATACATCTAAAAAACCTCTGGTACGTTGCCAAGGGCCAATATTATCAGACTTCTCCCTCACACAGAAGGGTCACATACGTTGATTTATGGCAACACTGATCTTGTGTCTCACTGAAGACTAAAGCGCAGACTTTGGTTACACAGAGTCGAGCCACTGACTGCAGAATGGATTCAACCTCTTTCCTAACTGTAACCTGTGTGAACTGGGATATCAAAAGTCTGCTGCTCTTCATCACTATTTTTATCCTCACTATAGACTGCATTAAGAACCACCGGCCAGCCAGCTTTCCTCCGGGACCTTGGGCTTTGCCTGTTGTGGGTAACATTTTCTCATTGGACCACAAAAAGACGCATGAGAGTATGACAAAGGTAAATGAACCAGTCTAAAAAAATAATTACTATTAAATAATGAAAAGGTCAACATAAAAAAACAACTTTGTTTCATGTTATATTGAGAATTTTATTTAACTGTTTTTTTTTAATCTGTTCACAGTTAGCAAAGAAATATGGAGAAGTTTACAGCCTACGAATGGGCCAGGAATGGTATGTAATCTTAAATGGGTTTGATGTTCTGAAAGAAGCTCTTGTAAATCAAGGAGACAGTCTGGCAGACCGCCCACCACTACCTCTGGTTGTGGACCTAAACAATGGACTAGGTGAGAAAATGTAAAACATGGACTGGGCAAATCCTAGTCCTTGTATTTGCAGTTCTGTATCCAAAATTGAAGGAATGTCACTTGACCCCATTCGTCCCCAGTGGCTTTACCCGGTGGTGTGTGAATGGAATTAGTAAAAAACTGATGGGCTCTATTCATAGCAGTTTTTGCCATCGGTGTGTGAATGGGTGAAGGTGACATGTAATTTAAAAGTGCTTTGAGTGATCAAATGACTAGAGAAAGCATCACATTTACATAGTCCATTTACGATCTAGCGTAAGTGCTACTCAAAAACAGGAGCAGAGACACAGAGGAAAAAGAACTATAAATTACAAGAAACCAAGAAAATTAAGATGGGACTAAACATCAATGTGTTACAAACAACCTTAACTCCACTGTTAAAATGAGATAAACTAAGAAAATTTAATTTAAAATTTAATAAAAAAATGTGTATTAAGGTGATAATCCTCATTGTAGCTGTTGCTGGTTTGATTCCTAGCCAAGGCCCTCTACTACATGTCTTTCCCCATTCTCTAGTCCCCACATTTCCTGTTGCTATTCAGCGGTCTAATCTAATAAAAACAACAACAACAAAAATGGCCAAAACCACAACATAAAACAAGTGCAGACCGAGCTCTGATGGTTTTTTAATTGTATGTGATCCTTTGTTTGTCTTTTCCATGTTTTCTACTCAATCTTTTCCCACCTGACGTGGATTTCTAACCAGGAATTGGTTTCACCAATGGGCAAATGTGGAAGCAACAAAGGCGTTTCACACTCTCAACTCTCCGGCATTTTGGATTGGGGAAGAAGTCACTTGAATCAATCATCTTAGATGAATTCACACACTGTTTAATAAATGTCCAAAGCTATGAAGGTAAAGTGAAACACTCAGGCAGAGGAACTTTTACATAAACAAAATCAACGACTAATTTCCTGTTAAACTTTGCAGGTAAGCCTTTCAATCCACACCTCATCATTAACAACGCTGTCTCCAACATTATCTGCTCCCTGGTTTTTGGACATCGCTTTGAATATGACGATGAAAAGTTTAAGCAACTGATTGGCTGCTTTGAAAAAGGACTCCAGACTCAAGCCTCAATTTGGGGACTGGTATGCTTGGCAATTTGAGCAGATCATATCTCTGATTTATTTATGCTACCCCAACTTCGATGAAAGAAGCTGAAGACATCTTTATTTATTTGGTTTGCTTTAGGTTTAGAAACAACAACAAAAAAATTGTGAACAGCTCTATTATCTAGGCAAATTCTTGTAGGATCAGGACTCAGACTCAGCAAAACTATGTTTAAAAAATTGTAATCGGAGCAAAAAAACTGATCGGGACATCCCTATTTTAACATCCAGTGAAATAATAATGTTGTATAACACCATTTTACAAGATATTTTACATTTAGAAATGTTCTGTCATGCATGAAATTGGTTTATTATGGTTGTTATATTTCTAAAAACTCAATTCAAGCTTAAAATTGTGAAAATAACATGATAAAAAATCCTCAAATGATGAAAAAACTTTTTTTTATCTCACCATTTTTAATTTGTTCTGCTCTGCAGTTATACAACTCCTTCCCCCGGTTGATGAGATGTTTACCAGGACCACATCAAACATTCCTGGATATTTTCAATGAAGCAAAGGAGTTCATAAGAGAAGAGATAGAGAAGCACAAACAAAACTGGGACCCCTCTGACCAAAGAGACTACATTGACTGCTACCTGAATGAAATACAGATGGTGACTGGCACTACATGAATCTTTCTATTATGTACATTGTACTGTGAATGAAAATATTTGGAGGTCAGTTCTTGGGAAACATGTTTCATAACCAACATTCGTGCTCTCAAATGTTACGCTGTATTTAGATCGTACAAAATCAGCTTGCTGTCTGTTTACAACCTAATTTGCATTCTTGCCAAGGTCTCTGTGTCCATGATGGCACTTTGTTTGAGGGCCATTTACCGGACAGAATACCCCTTTATGCTCAGAAAGTACAGACTGAAACACTTTCCAGGGTACCGTTGCCCCTACAGATTAATATAGTTGTATTACCATCTAATCGCTTAAAATGATCAAACTACACGTCTTAACACACCTATTTGAATATGTTGACAGGGTAAGAAGCAGACTGGCAACACTTTTGATGAGGAAAACCTTGTTGCCTGTGTCTTGGATCTGTTTGTGGCTGGCTCTGAGACAACATCCACCACCCTGCGCTGGGCTCTCCTCTACATGGCAAAGTACCCTGAGATCCAGGGTAAGATAACTCATTCAAAAATATATGAATGGGCAACAAATGCTTTTACTGGTGGTTTTCTAATAGGTTCAAACAAAACTTTGATGAATAAGGTTGTTTTTTTTTTCCATTACAAGATAAGAATACTGTATTGTGCTAATGCTGACATGAAAGGGTTCAAAATGTTTACCTGTTGGCTAATTGTGCACATCTATAATGCCAACACAGCTGTTCTTTACTGACTCTTTGACACAGACATCAAACTTAAAAACTGAAGCAAGTCATATCAGCCTCAATATTTTTAATCATTAAAAACACAAATGTATCAATGAACTAAAATGGTTTAAAGGTTTAAAAAGCAGAGGGAGGAAAATGGCAACAACCCTAACCCCAACCCCCCAGGCAATTTGAACCCTAATCTCTCCATTAATCATTATCTACTCCTGAAGTCTGCAGATGAAATTCATCTGGTTCTTGTGATTTCTTCCTCACAGCAAAAGTCCAGGCTGAGATAGACAGAGTGATTGGACGGTCTGGAAAGCTATCAATGGAAGATCGAGTAGACCTGCCGTATACAGAGGCTGTCCTCCATGAGATCCAGAGAAAAAGCAACATAGTTCCTCTCAGTGTGCCTCATATGACCAACACAGAGATCCAGCTGAAAGGTTACACTGTCCCAAAGGTAACATTTCAACAAAACATGATTTTACTTCACCCCCACTTAAACAGGATCTCTTTATTCACTACACAAGACACCTAGAGAGGGGTGATAGAGAAGAGCGGCCTGCTTAGTCTGAACCTGAGTGGTGTTTTATTATTGGACTTCTGTAATAGTCACGGATTGGCCATAAAAACACCATGTTCAAGCATAGGGTGCTTCATAAGTGTACAAGGCCAAAGGTCAATGATAGACCGTATGGTAGTGTCATCCGATCTGTGGCTCCATGTTTTGGATACTCAGGTAAAGAGTGGAGCATAGCCGGCTACTGATCAGCACCTGGTGATGATTTGATCAGCTAGTGAGAGAAGCTGTCAGAAAGACCTGGCAAATGCAAACATATAGTGCAGTTGAACTGGGAATGTCTTGCTGAGGCCTCTCTCCATGAGGTTTATTATTGATAAACTATGCATGTCCAAGCTCAGCCAGGTCAGGCAGCAGCAAACTCATGTTCAAGGGGCATCAATACATGCCAACTTTGCCAGTCTAGAAATCTAACTGTACATTTATTTTCCTAGTCTGTTAACTATGCATCCCAATGTCCATGCCTTTAGCGGGGGCTGTTGGGAATTATTTTCCAAAACAAGCTTGCTGAGACTTTGTGAAGACCACACTTCCAGCCACAGCCCCTGGCTGAGAGTGTGTGCTGTATGCCACACTTGAACAAAAGGAAACATACTGATAGCTGAATGCAATATGACACCACACTTTATCTCCATGAGAGCTCAACGATGATCTTACAATCAGTTACTCAATATTTGGTAATTGTTTATATCCCTACTTTTGATACCATTCTTATTAACAGGGTGTTACAGTTATTCCCAATTTGACCTCAGTGCTATTTGACAAGGATGAGTGGGAAACCCCTTTTGCCTTCAACCCAGAACACTTTCTGACTAAGGATGGCAAGTTTGTGAAGCCCGCTGCTTTCATTCCCTTCTCTGCAGGTGAGGATCAACACAATCATTTAAGTCTTTCTTCGTTACTCAAGGAAGCTCAAAATGCTGCTAGGCCTGAATGTGGTCCTTTAAAGAATCTTAGATTAACAAAAAGTCAAGACCTTATCATTTTTTATGAGTTTGTTCTCCATTGTCAGGTAAGCGGCTGTGTCTTGGTGAGAACATGGCCAAGATGGAGCTTTTCCTCTTCTTTACCTCCCTTATGCAGCACTTCACCTTCTCCATGCCAGCTGGAGTAAAGCCTGTGATGAACTACCACTTTGGAACCACTCTAACACCACATCACTATGAAATCTGTGCAACCTCACGCTCAGAGAAGCTGTAACTGATAAAGAGTGCTGACAAAAGCATTTTTTGTTTGTTTTCAATGGTGTCCACTTATGTCTTGATGAAGCACTTAAGAGTTAGTAAACACTTGGCTTTCAATTTAGATCACATTGTGAGAAGACCCTAGTTTGTATTATTTTTCAATTGTCAAGTCAATAAAGTTGATGTCTTTGCACTTTTGTCGTGTTCGTTTGTCTCACCTTCTCAACAAGCTTTTGATTGTCATCCTAAATCAGTAGTTTGCCAACTGTTGTCCTTGAAATAATGGGATTGGATAATCAAATTTCTTGACCTTGGCATACCAACCCACCCCACTGTTTAGCATACAAGTGTAGGGTAATGAGTGCAGTTTTTTTTTTTTTTTGTAAAGGGCCTTATTGTCCTATCAGTTTTTTTCAGATACATACTGAAAGGGTAACAGTGAAGTCATATAGTCTGTTTTTAATGTCCTTTCAAAGCAATTACTCTCTGTTGAGAGTTAGGTTTAGCACACTATGAAGCGTTATATTCTCCTAAATTGTTTTCTTTAAATTACATGGGCTTATTTGACACACACAAATCACACAGGATTGAGAGGAAGAGTAGGAAGACATGGTGTTCACGCAAATTAAAATATTTAACTGACCACACTCACTGGACTCATAGTAAAAAGGTACATTAGTAGTTCTGAATTCAACATAGTGCTAAAAGTAAAACACGAACGAGCTGATTTATTCTAACCTTATATATTTTATGCAAAAGTAGTTAAAATTAAAATTTTAATTTTAATATTATAACATATTCAGAGGGGACAACATCAGAAATGCTGCTCTGTAACCAGGAAAGGACCCAAACCAGATAAAGTGATACAAAAAAAGTTTGATCTGACATTTAAGGGAAAAAATTAGCATGACAGTAGACAATTAGCATCACACTTCTTTGACATTCATAGTAAAGACGGAATTGTCTGCTCTTTCCATCAATACTCATTCACAGGATGAAATCACTGGATTTACACTAATCAATGCACTGTATACTCTCACTCAGAGCAGTGGATTAAACAGAGTAGCAACACTCCCACAGGCATACGCTGTACAGCCCGGCAGACCCCACTTCCAGGTTATGGAACTCTCAATAGTTCCAACATGACCGCCTGTCACGTCGGACGCCGTTCGCTTCTATGGCCACAAGGCAAGCACTCACCGAGGTTAAATGATAAAATATCAACAAGTTTAATGCCAATATGTGTGTTATTGATTATAGAGGGGACCCTTTTATATGTAAAAATGTATGTCCCAAATGTAATTATGTTTTTTTAGTCAGGAATTGGGATCGATTTTTCTAGCCACGGTTTGCTCCCACACTCCCCGAGGTAAAATATTGTATCAACGAAGGTAATGCCAATACGTGTGTAAATGGTATCGAGGGACCCCTTTATATGTAAAATGATTTAAATTTTAGTATGCTCATATTGTAATTACAAATGTAATTACGTTTTTTTTAGTTAGGAATTGGGATAGATTTTTTAGCCACGGCCTGCTAGTTGGACGTCGTCAGTTGTAGAGGCCTGGCAAAATTTATTGTGTGACTGAGTTTTGAATCACAGATAAATCATTATCAATCATATGTTGAGATGGTTACTTATGGGCTTTATTTTAGATTTCAGCCTTTATCAGTACCCAGTGTTATGTGCAATTTATTCTTTTTAGACTAACATAAGTGCTATGTAATTTGATTTCTGCTTATTGGACGATAGAGTTAAGGGACCGCTACTTTTTAAATCGTGTCAGCATTTAAGGCGTATGTTTAACATGGAAAAATGTTATGCAGGCCATGCTGCAAGACCAAAACTGTAGCAAACCACTTTTTGGTTTTATGTATTGCTGTTTATCATTTTGGCCACAAGAGGGCAGCCTTATACTGTTAAAATGGTTAAATAAGTTAAAATCTTAAAAACAAACAGTTAAGCTACTTTCAATGCATTTTTGCATGATTCGAGTGTATAAAATTATAGTTCATGATTTGAGTTTGTTATAAGAAAATGTAACTTATGTGTTTTATATGTATATTGCTCATTTTGGAGCTTATGTTATTGTGAGCTTTTATTTTGAAGAGATTGCTAACCAATTTGTCACTTCCTCCTGGCTGTTTTTGTGCGGGTAAAAGGAAACAAAAGGACGGTCACGGTATGAATGAGCTAACGTAACGGTGAAAGTAAAAGAGTTTAAGGTAAAGGAAAATAAAGTAATAAATCTACGTTAACTAAAGAGTGAAGCAACGAAGAAGGTATAGCTACCCCCCGAGGAGGCAAAAGGTTAGTTAGAGAGTGTGTATGTTATGGTTTACATTACATTACTGTGCTAAAGCTAAGCCAATTTTCTCTCACCTGCAGTGAAGCTACTAGGTAATGGTGCATTGTGTAAACAGAAAACAGTTTTTTGTTAGTTCTCACGGTGAACTTCATGGAGCTGATTTATGGAGCGGTTTATGAAAATAAAGGCAGTTTTAAGAAATCATCAGTCGAGTCCACCAATCTGTCGGAGGGTACGCTACAAAAACATTGCACAATTGTTGAAACAGCTTGTAACACCTGTTACTTACCACTTTATTGTATTATTTTCTCTTATTAAAAAGTAACACCTGTTACCAAACTTGTCTTATTTCACTTTTATTTGTCATCCAGCCACTAAATATACGTACGTGACTTTGACGTGTACACAGTAATCCAATAAGAGTTGCAAATGTTGACTTTTCACGGTTAATTTTAATATTTACCTCTTAAATGCGCGCTCACTGCAGTCTGTCCCGTTGAAGAGCATGGACAGTGCAGGCTGCGCTTGGAACTATGGAGGGGTACATGAACCACGTGACCGCTCTGGCGGCGAGATCTGAAGTTGTCGCCACTCTGTTTAATCCACTGCTCTGGTGACAACCATAGACTGTATATAGAATGGACGGCGTCTTCCTCCTCGCTGGGTGAAGCCACTCCTAGAACAGCACCCTCTGTTGATGGGATGCAGTATAAGGTCATAAATCCCGCCTCCGCCAGCAAAGCTTACGGGGCTGTGGACAAACTTTAGAAATTTATTACACAGAACACAATTTTTTTTCCCCATGCTTGCGATGTTGACATGTAGTGTAGTAAGACTGGTTTGTTCCCAAGTCCTCTTTTTTTCTGTGCAGCTCCATTTTTAAAAGTTATTAGGGGGTTCATGTTTTCAATGATTGACACCTGATACAGCGTATGGGCGTACGAAGATTGCGTAGCTCACCCAAGGGATACGCTGTTTGAGCCGAGCATCATCTCTCTCATCATCAACTCTTGGCAACGTTCCCGCCAAATGCGTACAACGCTACTGCACAATGTTGGTTTCAGGAAATGGAGAAAAAAAGCTGATTTACTGAGAGCTTTTTGGCTTCAAATCCGTATACAGGCGGGAGGCGGAACTAAGTTGTCCATAGTATATACAGTCTATGGGGACAAGATTTAGCAAACGTTCCAACCAGTTCATCACATGAGCTAGCAACAGCGGGGTAAATGGGCTAAATGACATGCCAGCCAACTCTCCATCATTACATTTTTCTTTTATTAATTAAACGTATGTGTGTGAAACAATAAGCCATTTTGTGTTAGGTCTCTCTAAACCAGGCAAAGCTAAAAAGATGTTTAATAGCCAGTACTACATGCTGGGACTGTTAAGTTGCAAGAAAATTTACTTTTACATGCAAAACATATATTTTTGTGAAAAAGATGCTTACCACTGCAAAATGAGGTCCTCTCCTTCATGGCCAATGGGAGATGGGAGGGGCTTGAAAATATAATGGTCACATGACCACAAATGTGTTCAGTTGCATAGATACGAGGAGTGTCTCACATTACCCTGTTCACCCCTAAAGGCTAAAACATACAGGATGAATATTTAGAGTGTGGCAGCAGCGTCACGTATCATGCAGCAAATAAGTTGCCATTCTAATCAATGCAGTAAAGCATACAGGATGTGTATCGGCTCTATTGCAGCATTGTATTGAGAGCAGCACTGCTAAAGGTACGCGGCAAGTCTATTTTTGCTGCTTTACACTTCCGATGCCCGTCAATGCAAACAGAGAAGATCGTCCTAGACAGGAAGTCAAGCACAAAAACCAAGCCTGTCTTCCAGTATTTCAAAACAAAACACCTTATGCTCCTGACTCCTGACTGTGTATCAGTTTGTGTAGATGAGAAATACCTCTTGGTTATGGATTAATCAGTAACACAGAACAATCTGATGGTCAATCGCTGATCCATGTGAACCCCAACAGGACTTTGAACTGCTTACTCTGTCTGTTTGCATGTTACACTCTGCACCTTTTTTTTTTTTTTACCTCTGTTCACTCTGCACTTTTTTACCTCTGTGTGCTGTGCCTCTACTTGCAAAAGCTGCTGGTTACCCGAATTTCCTGCGGGAGTCATCCCAAGGGATGAATAAAGTTTAGTCTAAGTCTGAGGGCTCTATTTTCGTGTACGCCGGTGAGGCGACGGAGGGTGGCGGACCCCGCGCAGTTGTATTTTCGTCCGGTGGAGCCCGGCGTAGAGCCAGTTTGGTATTTTCATGGACTGAGGCACATGGAGGTGAACCGAGATCCGCCAAGCTGGGCGTGGTGGCGTGGCAGGGGGAGGTGTCGACAGAATCAGTGGGTGCATTGACATTTTCGTGCTCGCCAGTGGCATGTTAAGTGCGCTAAAAGCTCGCCGATTCAAACCTGGTCAGCTTTCAGCGCAGGCGGAGCGCAGCTAGTCTAGTGGTATTTTGGTAGACCGGGGGCGTATCGGCATACGTCACACATGCCTCACAGGCAGGTTTCCACAGTGTCAGGCACATTTCAGTGCAATAAATAATCATCAACAACTAATAATCTGAGTCAGCACATACATTTAGATCTATATAGATATATTCTGATCTATATCTGATCTGATGAGCGCGTTTGGCACGCGTTTGGACACACAATCTGACTGAATCAGCACAGCTGAAACCGCATTAAATTAAATTAAATATCTAGTAAATAAACACACATGATGAAGTTAACTAGATATGTAATTCGTCTCCCTCCTTTTCTTTCTTGATCTTTCTCTTATTTCTTGCGCAGCTCGACCTGGACATGTCTCTGTGTCCTCTCTCCATCCTGCTGCAGCTGCGGCTGAACAGATGATTTGTTTCA